CTCCCGTGTGGGTTTACTGTGTGGTTTTTATATTCCGTAGTTTGGCACTGATTTCTGAAGATACGGTCCAAATAGTGTTTGGGATTTGCTATCCCCTGTTGACTCCTTGCTGCACCATTATTTTCACACTGTAATGATCTATTGGCGATTCCGCACTGTCCACTTGCACCCAAAGGGTCTTGACCAGATCCAGCCAGTCATGCATCAAGTCACCATCCAGTGAAGCAATACCAGCTAATCTGTCCGTCGGTTCCATTCAATAAACACCTGCATTACCTGAAGAAAATACACAGAGTACGCTAATCACTGAGGACCCCTGAAGCCATGCTTGCCACTCTGTACGGAGCACGCCTTTCTCCACCTTTCTCAGCAGGCTTTGTGTATCGGTTACAATCACATGTGTGTGCAGCTGGTTCTTAAGCTAGCGGAATAAATAAACCATAAAAAACATAAACGGCTGAATTCCAGAGATGTTAACACCGTGCTGGGTTCCGGACAACATCTGGCAGCATGTTTATCAGCTTATCTTTCCGGATATGTAGAGGATTCTTTCTTTCTATTGTCTACAGTTGGCTACGATGTGTCCACTGCTAACTATCGTGAAGCCGTATCTCTTCCACGATGTGCGACTCTGACCACAGTCCACGAAAGCGGTTCTATTCTAAACCATCTACTGAAAGGACCGAACCCTAGTGAAAGTTAAAGATTGCACTGTGAAATGATTTTTCACTAGCCTCTAAGTCAGTGGAACGATATGACAGTTTGAAAAACTAATAAATAAAGACGATAATCGTTCCACGGCAGATGAAACGTGCACTTTAATCCCATGTTGAAGCAACAATTAAAGATCCCTTTTCAAGGCCTTAGGCGTATCGGGCATACAGAAAAATTATCTCATATTTGTACAGACCAATTGGCACTAGGTCGGTAATGTGGTCAGCATTACGCCAGCCGTCTTTACTTCCCCAGGACAGACGCCCTGGTACACATTTTAGGCTGGGTCGACCTGCGACGCCCCATATCATGATAAAAATCCACGCAGCCAAGCAGTGGGTTTAGATCGCGGTACGTTAGTATTACGAGTCGGACTCGCAATGCCTAAGCCACGGACGCCGCTTTAATCCCATGAACATATTTATAACGCTTGAGAACCACTTTTCACGAATCTGATTCATTCCACAGTACCACAGATGTTATGTACACAAACTGTTGCCTTCCTCCCACAAGGCAGTCGCCGACACCAGGCGGCAGCTACGGCTCAGGTATGCCATCTGCAAATGAGATGCCAAGGAGTACTAAGTACCTGCGGCATGATATTTTAATTACCAGCTATTCTGTTCCCATCCAACGACAGACACAACCGCTGCTGGCAAATTCACCAGACAAACAGGTGGCAGATCACAGCGGTCGCATTCCTTTCCCTGCAGAGTCTCATTCCTTCTCCTGTAGAGAGTCTCATTACTTTCCATTAAGAGAGTCTCACGCCTACTCCTGAAGACAGTCACATTCCTTGCGCCAAAATGTCGAATTCCCTACTCTGAAGAGAGTCTATGAAGAAAGTGGCATTCCTACCCCTGAAAAGAGTCGTATTCCCGAAAGTGTCTAGGAGAAATCGTGGGCCGAAACACTTGTCGACGAGGATAACTTCTACTGATGACTGGTAGATCCCTGCTGTACTTGCTCCCTGTGAGTTTATTCCTATCTAAAGCAGTTCCCCTCCCCCATCCCCCAAGTTCCCCCCCCCCCCCCCCCCCCACCCCCCCAGGCCCCCCCCCCCCCAGGCAGCAGCAGAAGTCGCGCTCCCTTTATCCTGAAGGCGGCAGAATTCTTTCCACAGAATAGAGTCGAATTCCTTCCTTGCCCTGAAGAGCTTCATTCATCCCCCAGTAGAGTTTTATTCCTTTCCCTGCAGCAAGACTAGCACTTCTTCCCCTGCAGACTGGCTCATTTCTTACTTTGCCGCATCTCTTTCCTTTATCTGCAGTCTCATTCCTTTCTATGGTAATTCTCATTCCTTACCCTGCAGCGCCTCATTCCTTTCACTGAAGAGTCTTACCTCCCCACCCCCTTTTTTGCTGAGTGTTTATTTTCCCCCTGCTGAGTCTCATTCCATTCTATGAAGTCCCACTGCACCCCCCCCCCCCGAGACAGTCAGTCTCATTCATTCCCTAGAAGAATCTTATTTCTCCCCCTCCTGTCTCATTTCTCTCCAGGCAGAGTCCCAGTCGCAAAGCAAACATTACCACAGATTTATTCAGGCGAAAGTCAAGCCAGGTGTTTCTCAAGAATCCCATACGCCAGTTTCATAAAGTGTAAGCTTCTGCTGACCTGTTTTCAAAAAAACAGATGGCAGGAGAAAGGTGCGATTTTACAGCTGTTTATGTAACCTTCATTTTCCATACATTGGGAACAGCGTTATATCATGCCTTGTTTCAAGAGATTTGCTAAAGAAAGCTTTCTACAGTGAACTTCATTTTGAATACATGCATAAATACATATAGTGCTACCTCAGTATACGTTCGCTTTAGTATTCGTCAAACTTGGCATACATCCTGTTTAAACGCAAAAACGTTTGCTTGGTATACGACCTTTGTTTGGAGCACACAATTGTATGAGTCGAAATTAGTCAAGATATCGTGCCCTATCTTTGTTTACCTCTCTCGAGACAAAGCCACAGATAGCTGTTAATGAATTTGCAGGAATGTATCACCCGAACAAAGCCCAAATAAGCCATAATCGCATTGTCCTCTTCTTTGTTTTATAATTGTTGTTACCAGTGGTTGCGTCCTACACTAGTGATTCCTAAACTGTGCGCCGCGGTGTCCCAGGGAGCCGCGACCTCTTCACAGGGGCGCCGCGACCTATTCACAGGGGAGCCGCGATCTCTTCACAGGGGCGCCCGCGAAATATTCGAAGATACACGAGTGTTCTTTTTTTAAATCTCTTACATACGAATAGTCACACTTTGACTTAGGTTAGGGCGCCGTCGAAAAACCGTAATTTAAAAAAAGGCGCCACGACTAAGAAAAGTCTGGGAAACACTGGCCTAGACATTCCTCTTATTTCAAACATCAAATGTTCATCAGGAAATGTTCTGGGCGTGATTATATCATTTACTCAGTGCCAACTGGTCTGTAAACATAATGTACTAGTAACATTTACCTAAAGCAGGGGTCGGCCGAAATATGGCCAACTGGAAAAACACTGGCCCGTTGAAGCAATTTCTGCTGGCCCGCGAGGTTGGTGTAAATTTACTATTTAACTGGACCTGTGTCTTTCCTTCAATAATATGATTTCTGCAGATAATCAGCCTGAACAGAACATATTTAGGAATAGACAAGCCATTAGTGGGTCGGTGGGGCTGATCAGAGGCGCAGCGGGGAATTGTAACATTAGATTATCCCACAAACATATCGGGGTGCGAGTAAATCTGTGTGTTTATAAGGGATTTTTTTTCCCAACTTTCTATGCGGCATGTGACCAGGTTGGTAATAAATTTGGCCAGCAGGCCAGCTATAAACGGTTGTCCACCTTTTGGCCTAGAGCGTTATGCGTAAAAAGATGTCTTTTATTTACTCTGCTGTATAACTGAGGAGCGGTTGGCTGATCCGACCTTTCTTTTCTCTCTGGGTCTATAGTAAAAGGGGTGGGGGGGGGGGGGGGAAACAAATCTTAACCAACACAGTCACTGGCGACAGCACAAACCTTGCGGTTCTGAATCTTCAAGCGCAAAGACCTCCTCCCGCCTACACGGCAAAAGTGGTGAAAACAGGCAATAATGGCAAGTGGTTTCATGAGTTTAAGAATTTCAGAATCCTCGACCACAGCTGACTTTGATTTTCGCGGCAGACGGTTTATTTGAATTCTCATTAAAAAAAAAAAACCACCAGTTCTTGTGGTTTACGGGCAGTGGTAAGAGAGTGGCACCGTGGAAGAGATTAAGGTCCTCCAGCTCAGTAATATTCCCTATACAACAGATGGTGCACTGTAGCCAATGTTCATTGTGGAGACTGCACACAATTACACTTGTAGCAAAACAATAATTCATGTATTAATAATTCTTTACCTGGCATGCTATGTGGCAACTGGAAAGTCGTACGGGATGAGAGATTCGGAAACTTTGCAACAACAACAAAAAATAATTATATACACCCTTTATATGGCATGAAAAAAGATACATGCTGCGTGAGATCGGCAAGATATGAATCAAGATCGACAATGTCAGTCGGCAAAAGTATTAACACAATCTAACGTGAAGTCTTAATGTTATTTCTTAAATGTGCCTCTGTCACAAACTGTAGCACATAATGGTGGAGGTCAATTCCGGCGCAGAGTGTGTACGAAGTAAAGAGCAATGTGTAAATAATATATAAGCAAATAAGAAGTCAAACAAAATGTATACATGCTGTACATACATTATAACAACACTCCCTTGAAAACAATTGACAATGTCAGTCTAAAAACGGTTATCAAGGCACAATGTCTTCGTCAGCAAAAATGTTACGACGATGCAAATGACGATCAACCATCCTAATATTACACTCTGCCTTCAATCTCAATGGGGAATGATAGTTCGTCTAACTCTCGATGGGTAACACTAGTTACTGTTACTACTGATTAACACCGCCAGTTCAAACTAACCACGTGCGCTTTTTGTTTACACAAAGAGAGAGAATTTATCTGTATGGCTTCGGCTTGTTTCAATACACGATTCTTCGATAGGAGCAAAAAAATCAGAAGGTACAATCCTTATCAAAGCCATAACGACGACAAACTGACTCTCCCGTTTTTATGCTCTGGACGAAACATAGCTGGTCTCCATCTTATTTAAATTTACATCTGTAAAACTTTTGAAAAGATTCAGTTCCAAAATCCCTCTAATTTGATAAAAGGTGTTTCCACGATCATGTCTGACAGTATCGTTTCTCGCTCAGTCCCGACATATAGAATAAATACGATCTCGTTATCAAAATATAATCAGTTATCACACAGACACAGTTTCACAACTCCCAGCTAAACAGGTGGTAGGTGACAAGCATATCCCGTGCGCCCTCCACCAAGGCGTCCCTGGGATCGCGCCGTAACGGCAGCTCATGACCCAAAGAAAGCTGAAGCGAGTAGGCTGCAAGTAATCTGTAAAAAATATAGAAAAGCATTTTGTGTAATTCACTGTACACTGTATGAGTAAAATATCGGACCCTTTTAACGCCAGTGGCGCTTCGGGTAAAGGAAGCTACTCCTGTGGGTGACGTCGTTAGCATCACGTTGGCCGCCTTTGCTTCCTCGGACATATTCTGGTACCGATGTTAGGCTGGGCCGACCTGGGAACGGATGTCAATTCTCAACAACAACAAAAGTAGACTCGATACGGATATGAACCCCAGATCTTCGAAACGGCAGGTGAGTGTGTAGCCACAAGGCTACAGCGGCTCTCCATTTGTATGCAGCAGTGCTCTCCCACCTGGAAAAAGCACGCATATTTTTACAGACCAGTCGGTACTAGGTGGGTAATGTGGTCAGCATGCTGCCGGCCGTCTTTATTTCCCCAGGACATACATCATGGTACCCATTGTAGGCTGGGTCGACCAGCGACGCCCATACCATCATAAACATTCACGCAGCCAGCAGTGGGTTTCGAACGCAGTACTTTGGAATTAGGAGTCGTGTGACGAGCTGGTCTGGACAGCTGTTTCTGTCCTTTTAAAGATTGCTTTGTTTAGATAATATTTTTATCAAAGTTCTAAACATTTTCCTATTGCTTTTAATTAGCATAATAACACTGGATTAATTAAGAAATTTCCTTAACTTTTTCTTAATGCTTTACTGTAGCAAAATTATAATTAAAGAGTTGAAAGGTAATATAGGCGAAGAGTAGTGCAAGGGGGACTGAAGAGTTACTTCCTCCTGACTTCCTGTTCCCTTTTCAATTCAGAAATTGACCGGTTCAGACCTAAAGTTGTTAGTCTGCCTGTGGTCCAATTTTCTGTTTGAATTCCCTGCCAGGGGTGAGTTAAAAGAATAAGTTTAATTTGATGTATTGCTGCTTATTCCTCTGAATTAATTCCACAGGTTAAATTCTGAAATTTAATGCCCACATGGCTCAAAAACTATGATAAATTTCTTTATCCTCACTAACCACGTTTATGATCTAGTATGTACATGTATGCAAACATATTATCTAATTGATGATTGAATTAATGTTTATTTGCTACTAGAAACGTGCATTGGTATTTTTAATAATTATACTTATATTAATTAAGTGATAATTATGTCCTCATGTGAAATCTCAGCCAGTTCCTGTTTCCAGCTTAGACAATTAAAAATAGGAATGAAGTGTATATTCATTATACCTAACCCCTTCTAAGTTAAATTTTTACCTCATGGTGATATTAGCTTAATAAATCACTGTCTTGCTTTAATTTAGATTTAGTCCAGATAATTCTGAGATTAGTTTAAGAGCTTGGAAAGTGAATAACACAGTGAGGCTGAATTTAATATTCACACTGTCAGAGAAGAAGAAGCAGAAAAGAGATGTATGGCCCATGCTTGTAATTATTATTGTTGTATATAGATTTCCCTATTACTAGGAATACATTTCAGTTCTACAGCAGGTGGCCTTAAAAATTTAATAATTATATTTCACCCCTCACCACTTCTAACTCTGCTGAATAAGATTAGCACATGTGTGGATTTAGATTTAAACTGGAGTGAGTGTTGTATATTTTATGTTAATACTGTGACAGATGGAAAGCCCATTGTCATCTATGATTGTATTTTGACATCTATCTCAGCACCCAGTATATTGATGGAGATATGTTAATCCCATTTATTTTCAAACAGTGCAAAGCACCTGTTATGAGTTCCTGGTCTTGGTAAACTCACTCCCTGCTTCTCATTCATTGTGATGTGAACCCATGCGGTTAAAATGAGAATATTGTGAAATATGACTGTGTATGTCTGTGTGTGTAAGCATGTTAACCCTTCAAAGGAGTACTAGTGTGCAGACATCAGAACAATTTACACTGAGGAATGTCCTTTCTTTTTGTGTGCTGTAAACTCTTGTTCTTGAGAGTATTCATGAAACTGGTTTCCTAAATATTTCCCCATCAGGATTATGGACCATGTTCTGTACACATTCCCATTATATACCAGTAGAATGTGAACACCTGTTACTATCCTACTCCATATATATGTGTGTAGTGTAACATTTTAAAGACTGGAGGTATTGTTGTCTCCAGTTAGAACCTTCCTGACTGTTTGTATAAGGACTGTTCTATTGTTCTAGTTCCAGATGGTACTTACAGGTGGGAGTCCAGAAGTAGATCCTAAGCTTAGCTGCAGATACCCGATTGTCCGGACTGGACTGGAAGATTCGGCCTGCCTGATGTGTCACCGAGGCTTAGCCAGAAGCTGACCTAAGCTACAGCTAAGATTTAACTAACCTACCTTGAATAACAGGATTTTATATCCACAGCCATGTTGTTTATTATTTTGATATCCAATGCTGAATAAATGTTAGTTTTAATGTTCCTACAGTTTTATGAAGTTTCATTTTAACTGTAAACATTGTCAGTGAACTTAAGAATATTTAAATATACAATCTTAATTACAGCAGGGAATAAGATGTGGGCAAACCCCGAATCCTCTCATTTAACCAGCAAGGCTGGGGTTACTATAAGACTATATGATGACTCACTGTTTGTAATTCCCTCTGTAAAGTGCACATAGTGCATTCGCTAGTTAAAGCGAAGTTACCCGCCACAAGTCGGACTCGCAACGCCTAATCTACGGAGGCCGCGCAATTAAACATATAATATACATATTTAAAAAACTCACACACTATTTATAAACAAAAAGCCTAGGCATTTGTTGTTTCTACGAGCAGTGTCAGGAGGTGTCAAGTGGGTACCATGGGGTGAGTAGTTGAATGGGAGACCATGCATGTCCCAAAGTGTTGAGATTTTAAACTGGTGGAGCTATTTAAGATACTGAGTACCAGGTTAGAGGTCGCTGCCAGGGGAATAACATCTCAAGAACGAGAATTCCAGAAACTGTATAGCCATACTGGACAGTTTTATCAGGGTACAACTAAACTGTTACAAAGCCATCTGTAGTCCAGTGTGGGTGGATTGTGTTCGGGTATCTAGCCACACACAGTAGTAGTTTTTTCACTTCTACAAACTGTGATTCTAGATCTGCTTTATTATTATAAGCTGCACACTGCAGTGACCCAAAGCCCCAAACCCGGATGCACGAGAAGGCCGTGGTAGGGTTTCAATTCTTCAATGTAGCAGGATATCTCGACAGATCTATGGTTGCGGGGTCGACAAACATAAATTTGATTCCCCGGTTAGCACGACATTTTTTTTAAAATATGAACTCTTAATTCTTCTGTCCCCTGGAATTCGTGTTAAAGAGGGTTACTGTAGCTCCCGGTTACCAACATGCTATGAGAAAGGCGCTGATGCCTAATCTGCTTCACCTGACGTGGGCCTAAAATATGTAAAGGCCTGATACTTCACACCCCAAGACCTGTACCCTCTATCGAACTCCTGTTACGTTGCTGACCACTTCTTGTTCTTCTTCTTCTCCTCCTCCTCCAATTCCTCCTTTATGTTTTCTTCTTCCCTCTTCTTGTTATTTCTTACTTCATTCCTTCTTCTTCCTTGTTATTTCTTCATTCCTTTCTGCTTCTTCCCTCTTTCTTCTTATTATTTTTCCTTTTTTTCATCTCTTCCTCCTTATTCTTTATCCCCCTCTTTCCTTCTTGTTCTTGTTCTTTCTTTGCCCTTAACTGAGAATGTTGCAAATTACCTCCAGTTTACAAATAGGCTGCCTTTCGGCTAAGCACATCCTATTTCAGCAAATCTTGAATCTGTCGTCTTATACAACATGCTCGTTGAAGGGCAGCGGGTTTACACCCTTCCTCCATGGCAGGAACCGGAGGGTTTACAATTATTTTATATTTAATTATATTATATTTCTTCTATGCTGCCTAGACACACGTTAATGAATGTTTGTGGGGAAGAGGGGGGGGGGGGGGTAACAATTAATGCTTTATTATTATAAGCTGCACACTGCAGTGACCCAAAGCCCCAAACCCGGATGCACGAGAAGGCCGTGGTAGGGTTTCAATTCTTCAATGTAGCAGGATATCTCGACAGATCTATGGTTGCGGGGTCGACAAACATAAATTTGATTCCCCGGTTAGCACGACATTTTTTTTAAAATATGAACTCTTAATTCTTCTGTCCCCTGGAATTCGTGTTAAAGAGGGTTACTGTAGCTCCCGGTTACCAACATGCTATGAGAAAGGCGCTGATGCCTAATCTGCTTCACCTGACGTGGGCCTAAAATATGTAAAGGCCTGATACTTCACACCCCAAGACCTGTACCCTCTATCGAACTCCTGTTACGTTGCTGACCACTTCTTGTTCTTCTTCTTCTCCTCCTCCTCCAATTCCTCCTTTATGTTTTCTTCTTCCCTCTTCTTGTTATTTCTTACTTCATTCCTTCTTCTTCCTTGTTATTTCTTCATTCCTTTCTGCTTCTTCCCTCTTTCTTCTTATTATTTTTCCTTTTTTCATCTCTTCCTCCTTATTCTTTATCCCCCTCTTTCCTTCTTGTTCTTGTTCTTTCTTTGCCCTTAACTGAGAATGTTGCAAATTACCTCCAGTTTACAAATAGGCTGCCTTTCGGCTAAGCACATCCTATTTCAGCAAATCTTGAATCTGTCGTCTTATACAACATGCTCGTTGAAGGGCAGCGGGTTTACACCCTTCCTCCATGGCAGGAACCGGAGGGTTTACAATTATTTTATATTTAATTATATTATATTTCTTCTATGCTGCCTAGACACACGTTAATGAATGTTTGTGGGGAGGGGGGTAACAATTAATGCTCCAGTAAACGTGATAAAACAAGCAGTTTCTTATGGGGTGCTTGTGAAAGGGTATGCAAGTGGTGGTACTTCTGGAGGCTCTTTGCCCTGTCAAACCAAGAGTTAATAGCTCAAGCTGTGCCCTATGGAAACAAGCTATAGGCTAAAGCATGCTAGGATTACTAGCAATGTGCTGTGAGAGACTGTTAACACGCTGTAGCACCATGTGTGAGCATAAATATGTAGTAGCTAG